CCCCCCAGGTGCCTGTCGGGGCCTGGGTTTCAGCTGTCCACACCACAGCAGTGGGCAACGAGCTTAAAGCCCCTGATGGCTCTGGGCGCTGACTCTCACCAGTGGCTATGGATGAAGTCACAGGCGATTTTCAGCCAGCGCCGGGGTTTTTAGCACTTTTGAACATGTTTTTCCCTCTACAAACATTATTTTTTGCCCACAGAGCCATGTGACTTGTACCTTGATTACATCAGAGGAGAAAAATGTTACTTTCACAATGTGCCCTTCTTTGCCTGTCCTATGTAAATGTACACCCATGTCCTCTCCCTTTTTTCTTTATTTTATGATTCTTTAATATACAGTGTACTCCATTTATTTATTAGATTAGATCTTCTCAACTGAAATGTTAGCTTCATGAATTCATATTTTGTCTTTTGTTTTTGTTTTTTTATTATTCTCCTTTATTTACAGAATTTGAATACATTGTTTTCCAGACCAGATTCTTCCAATTTCCCTCACCCCCCACCCATCAAGTTGTACAACCTTCTGATTAATCCCCACATTTTCATGCCTCTGCTTCCACCCCTGCCCCTCCATCTTTTTTCTACACTGTTCTATTACATCTTATGTACAGTATGTACATTTAATATCTCTTTAGTGAATATATATCCTGAACCTCTTCTCTGTAATTCTACCTGCATAAATTATTTTCTTTTTTTAGATTCTGATGACTATTTAGGAATCTGACTCTTTTTGTGCCATCTTTATCTTTCATTTACGATGAGTTTGTGGTATCTTTACAAGCATTTCAAAATACAGTGCTTAATATATCATCTAAAAAAAAAAATCTAATTTTTGTCCATACTTGCTCTACTTAGAAAGAAATTTGTTTTATTTATCATTGAATAGAACATTTTGTGTTATTCCTAATCTATAGTAATAAATATTTCTGCTTTCTTAGGCTCATTCATGGATATCACGTCGACAAATACAAGTAATAAAAGTGATACTAATATGGAGCAAGTTCCTGCCACAAATGATACTATTAAACGTTTAGAATCAAAATTATTGAAAAATCAGGCAAAACAGCAGGTTTGTGATACTCTACCAAGTAATCTTAACATGCTACTAACTGAAATTATTATTATCTTTTGTTAATGCCCTTGATGTTATCATTCCTAGATTTAATGGTTGGTAGTTAAAATGTGTTCTGGACATTTTGGCTGCACAACTACTCAGCTAAAGACGTTATCCTAAATATATCATTTTATCATGTTTATTTATTTATTTTACCATTGTTGATTTTAAAATATTTCAAAAAGTCATTTCATTCCCTTTCCTGACACATTTAGGTTAACCGAACATCGGGGCATTTAACTCTTGGCCATAGTAGTTGCCCTTTCAAAATGATAGTATCTGTCCCTCTCCGTGTAGACTTTCAGAGTAAAAGCACAGGATTTTCAACAGACATCTTCCTCCTTCTACATTGCCCAGGATTCCTAATCTAAGACGTTTATTAATTCCAATTGGCCTATAATTTTCAGAGTGAATCTGGACGTTTAAGCTTGGGAGCTTCCCGTGGAAGCAGTGTGGAGAGCTTGCCCCCAACCTCTGAAGGCAAGCGGATGAGTGCTGACATGTCTGAAATAGAAGCAAGGATAGCTGCATCCACAGGTAAAATTAGACTAAAACCTCAGTAGGAGTGCAAAGTAGGTCATTTGTTTTGAGGTGGTGATATTTTCTGTTGTTTTTAATAATGAAGATACCAGGATTGTTTGTGTGTCTCGTATTTCTTAAAATGGGAAGTATGTTTACAGTATACCTTAAAGCTTGTAGCAATAATTTATCTCAATTTCCAAATAAGGCAGGTATGGTTTATAAAAATTATTTGGATAATAAAAAATACCAAGTGAGAAATTAAAATTAATATACACACTTCTCTCAAACAAAATGTTGATTGCCTTTGGAAGATTTTGAGTTCTTATACTTCAATTTGTACTGAACTTAAATAGCAAATATTTTGAAGTTGACAGAAAAGTGTTTTTGTTATGTGTTATTTGGCCCACCTTGCTGTATTTTCTTCTTTCCTCACAGTAGCATAAAGAATTTAGTTGGTTGAGGTTGGTTTTTTAAATATAAAAAAGTTCATAGTAATTTTGTTGACTCTAAAAACCCCACTATTTTAAATTCCATTTTGTCAGATCATGTTAATGTTAGTTGTCATTGAGTTGAAGTGAACTCATAGCTAGCTTTCCAATTTTCAAAGATTGTAAATCACATGGGAGGAAATGGCTCATCTTTGTCCTGTGGAAACAGTGATGGATTTGTATATTTGTATACTACCTGTCTTTGGATTGGAAGCACACTTTACCTACTGTGCCTTTAGGGCTCCCTATTGTCAGTTCTTAAGGTGATTATTCATTAATAAAGTGGTCAGCACAGAAACAGATGTTTTGTTACCAGAGGGAACTGTTAACCTTCTTTTATAATTGACTCATTCATTGTTACCGAACTTGAACCAACTCATAGCTGACCCTCCACAAGATATTCAGAAACTGTAAATTACACGTCTGTGGTCTTTATCCCAGAGATCTTCTGAGGTATTTGGACTGTGCATTTCCCTCTGCACTGGCCTTTAGAGCTCTCTTTTTTAAACTAGGCTTCGGGCTGATAATAGTGGTTTAATTTGGATTTTTGTTGTTGTTTTTCCAAGGATAGAAGAGAAATGATTCTAAGAATAAGTTTATTTTAGAGGCTGTATAGAAATGTAAGCAAACAAAAACTTTCCATGATTATCTGGTTTAGAGATAAACACATTATTATTTCTAGCCTTTTTTTAATATGTGTGTGTGTATGTGTATTTTTTTTTCCCCAGGTCTCAGAGTAATGTGTGTATGTATTAAGCTTAGCTAATCAATTGTTAATTGTAGGTCTTCTCCCCCTTTTTCATTTATATTTTGGTCAATATAATGTTCTCATTTTGTATGAATCTGTTTTCAAGGAAAAGTGGTCCAGACTTATTTATTTCTAAGATTTACTTTCTCATTAATAATAATACTATAAAATCCTTAATAAAAATATATTTTTAATTACATTTGATTATCACTAAAATAGTATAGATCATTATGTTATGTGTACTTACCTTCAACTAATTATGGTTATTGAATTTTACATCAGATCAGTTAGATATCAAAATACCCAAAATAACAGTGCCTGTAACATCCAGCATTTATTTTTCATACAGAAAGAAATCTGGGTAGACTCATCAGATCATCAGGAAATTGGGTTCTTTCTGTCTTCCTGTGATGCAGTCTCTATTATGTAGCTTCCTTCCTCATGGCTACTTGTGGTTTTAGATGTTTCCTGTAGTTCTGTATAACGTAGGTTGTAGACGAGTCTTCCTCCAATCCTGATGCCACATTCCTCCTCATAAAGCCCAGCTTCCCGAATGATTCATTCTTCATATAGGTTGAAAAGATATGGAGACAGAATGCATCCTTGACGTACTGCCTTCCTTATTTTGAACCATGCAGTGTTTCCCTGCAGTGTTCTAAGGACTGCTTTCTGGTCCAAGTATAGGTTTCGCATATGCACGATCACGTGTTCTGGAATTCCCAGCCACAATTTGTTATGATCCACACAGTTTAATACCTTTGCATAGATAATGAAACACAGCTAGATAACCTTCTGCTACTCTGCTTTCTGCTAAAATCCAACTGACATTGGTGATAATGTCTCTAGTGCCACGGCCTCTTCTAAACCCAGCTTATATTTCTGGTAGTTCTCTGTCAGTGTATTGTTTCAGCAGCTTGCTCCAGAAGGTCAAGGACTGTAGTCTTCACTATGCAGTAAAGCTCAACATCAAGAAGACAAAGATTCTCACCACTGGGCCAATTGGCAGCACCATGATAGATGGAGAAGAGATTGAGGTGGTTAACAGTTACAGCTTGCTTGGCTCCACAGTCAATACTCTTAGCACCAGCAGTCACAAAATCAAAAGACAAATTGCACTGAGGAAATCTGCTTTCAGGGACCTCTCCAGAGTACTGAGAAGCAACGATGTCAGTGTAGAGACTAAGGTGCACTTGATCCAGGCCATGGTCTTCACAATTACTTGCTGTGCATCAGAGAGCTAAGGATAACAGACGAATCGATGCCTTTGCATTGTGATGCTGGAGAAGAGTGTTGAACATTCCATGGACCTCCAAGAAAACAAATAGAGCTGTTTTGATAAGGGTGAAACTAAGTTTCTCCTGGGAGACTAGGATTTTGAAGTTTTGTCCCGCATACTTTAGGCATGTGGCCAGAAGGGACTGATTCTTGGAAAAAGACTATGCTCAGAAAAGTGGAGGGACAGCATAGGAGAGAAAGACCTCAGATGAGATGGATTCTCACAGTACCTGGGGCAGTGAGGGTAGGTGTGTTGGAGTCAATGAGGCTATCTCTGACAGGGCAGGCTTCAGAGCTGTTGTACATAGGGTCGCTGTGTGTCACAGGTGACTTGATGGCACATAACCACCACACCAACTGTGGTTCTAGTCATCATATCCACATTCCAGGCAGCTACAAAGAAAGTAGGAAATAAAAAGGGTTTATTTCAAGTTCTTTCAGATAGCGTTCTCAGAAGTCCTACCTAACACCTTTCACATAACTTTAAGAGCAAAGAAGATGATTTATGACTTCTCTATGTAAAATCAAGGTTCTTTTGCTAACAAAGGATGGAAAATAGAGATTTGCTGGTTAGCTAGCAGTCTCTGTTCCTTGAATGGATCATCAGAAGCTAGCAGGTAGAAGCTAGCAAGTGAAGTTCAGATAACCAATCACTATTGAACCATTCTCCATTAATCACAAGTATTTCTGCCTAGCAAGGTTACTTCATTGTAATATGAGATGAATGGTGTATAAGTCATACCCTCGCACTTTGGAGAACTTTCTTTTCTTCAGGAATGTCATTCAATCTGCCAGATTCTGATTGCTGCCCCAAAATGTCAATTTGTACTACAATAATTTCACTTCTTTGCTAGAATAATTTTTCTAGCCTGGCACTATTTCTTTATTCTTTAACTCACTGCTTGAGTCAAATCTTAATTCTCCCATCAGTTTCATATGTAAGAAATCTTTACATAGGAGGGTACCCATCTTCTGTGGTGCAGCTGATGGGTTTGAACTGCCAGCCCTTTGGTTGGAAATTCAGCATGTGCTGTTTCACTAGGTTAAGGTTAACCATACTCATGAAAATTACTTCACCACCACCCCAATTTATGCTGTCTACCTGAATAAAACAACTGCTCTTGTGCATTCTTATCTGCCACATAGTCCAGATTTTTTTATTATTTTTTTTAATTTTATTTTTTTAAGTGAATCTTCTTAACCTGGAGAATTTCCTGTTTCCAGCTTTTCAACATTAGTCATACTTAGTGGAAATGTATCCTAAATTTTGAAACTCTAGGAAATAATTCCATTTCTTAGAAGTATTTAAAATGAAGTATGGAACACTCCTACCTTGATTCAATGATTATCATTGAATTTTACTTTCTAAAACACCAAGAAACATCTAGCTTGAGAGAGTGTATGTGTGTGTTTATTTACATAGACACCACCCCACCCCGGGTTTATTTAACTAAAAAAGAAATGTCAGCTTCTTTTCTTTTTAACACCTTCCTTCCTTCCTTTCTTCATCCAGTCATTCATTGCATATCAGTGATTCCACTTAGGTAGTGTCTATAGAAACACATTTGCAATTTAGCTTCCATACTGTCCTGCAGCTTTGTTTGCCTCTGTTCTTTTATTTTATTTTGCTAATTAAAACTAGTGTGTCAGATGTCTTGTATTAGTAGTTGTTTGCTTTTTTTTAATCATGCCTTTTCTATGCATGGATGAGAGTTAGATAGTTCTGCATGCTATTCTGCATGCCTTGTAATTAACATAACTATTTGAAGATTATTCTGGTTATGTATTTAGTCATTTTCTGTGTTCTATTTGTGGTTGTTTTGCATGTATACTGTATATATGTGTTTTTACAGCCTTTTCCAAGCCTAAACGGGGCCACCGTAAAACCGCTTCATTTGGCAACATTCTGGATGTCCCTGAGATCGTCATATCAGGTATCATAGACCACCTGAGATGGTCTAATAGCTATGAAACTCAAAGGATAATCCCTGGTGCTTTAAAATGCTTCTTGCTCCAATTTTTCTAATATATGAAAATAGGTATTTTGAATATAGTAATTAGGGAGGCAGATTGAAATTTTATACATTTTTCTCTACTGAAGGGGCCATGACAAAAAAATACCTCAAATCTCCAGTAATGAGGATGAAATAGAGGGGAAAGTAAACCTTTTCTCCAAACAGAATTTTAACCCTGGATTCTGCTGACGTTCATCATTTAAATGGTCAGTTAATCTGAAACCAAACTTTTATTGCACTCAGCTATTGTTATCCTTGACTCTTTTCCTTTCTCAGCGACTACTTTTTTGGCTTCCTGTGAGCTTTTTATCAGTTCTCTTTCTGTTAGTTGCCAGTGATATAAGTGGTTGAGAGAAGAGTTTCTTAATACCCTTCTGCCCAACCTAGCAAACAAAACTAGAGTGAGACTTCTTGAGATTTGTTGTTTTGCAGGAATCTTGTCAAAGAATCATGTGAAAGAAATACTTTCTTCTGATTCTTGTTTCTTTCCAAGAGAACCGTTTTGCATAGTCAGATTGTTAAATGTTTTCATTACCTAACTTGTACATGGTAGGTCCTTCATTTCAGTATCTCAAGTACATGCTTTCATTTATAATGATGACCATTTCATATGTGAATCTAAGTTGTATTTAATAGCAACTTAATAGTATAGGTGACCCTTGGTACTGTTTAATATATAACTATCATTTCTTCATTCTTTGTAAGTTCTCCTCCACCACTCTTGCCTAAATTTTGATAAGAAAGTACAAAGGTTTTCCCATACAAGTTTGTAAGTGTTATTTGGAAGAATTTTTCAACACTCTGCTTTGCAATTCATTGGATTTTTAATATAGCATCATATTATAGTTCAGTACCTAATACTTTTGCACTAAATTGAAAGTAGCAAGGAGAGAGTCTATGTCTTTCTTGTTTATTGTTGATTGTTTCCTCAGTATCTGGCTCCATGCCCCACACAGTGTTTTATAAATCTATAACTAGTAAGTAAATTAATAAATCATTATTAAGTATTTCCACTTGCTAGAACATTATATACAAATATAAATTATATCATTCTTTAGGACTTTGTTTCTACAAAAACTGTTTTGTTTTATCATAATTAATTTTTTAAGGGATTAATCTGTCACCCATGTAGTAATTTTAATTTATTATGTTATCATTGTTGTGTTCCATTAAGTCAGAACAAACCAATAGCTGACACTCTGGCAAGTTTTCAGAGGCAGTTAGTTAATCACACAAGAGGAGATTGCCCATCTTTCTCCCACAGAGCAGCTGGTGGATTTGAACCCTATTCCTCTATGATCGCAGCATGGTTTTTTACCACTAGATTGCCACAGTCTCTTTGTCAGTCCATCTTATCCAGGTCTTTCTTGTGCTAACCTTCTATCTTTCCAAGCATGATGTCCTTTTTCTAGGACCACCCCTCTTGACAACCTGCTCAAATTATGTGAGATAATGTTTTAAAATTGTTGCCTCCAAGAAACAACCTAGTTTAACTTTCATCAGGACAGACTTAGTTGTTTTCTTGAAAGCCCATGGTAGGTTTAGTACTCTTCTCCAGCATCACAACTCAAAGGCATTGATTATTCTTCTGTCGTTGTCCAGCATTCAGATGCTTCTGTCACTGTCCAGCTTTCAGATGCATAACATAGAATTGAGAAGACAGTGGGTCAGATCAGGTGCACATTAGTCTTCAACACATCTTTGCTCTTTAGCGTTCTGGAGAAGTCTATCCTTGACAGCAAATTTTCCCAATGCAACTCATCTTTTGATTTCCTGACTACTGGTGCCAATGGTGTTTATTGTGAATCTGAGCAAAAAGAAATCATAAACAACTTCAGTCTGTTCTCCATCTATCATGATGCTGCCTATTGACCCTGTAGTGAGATTTTTTTATTTTCTTGATGTTGAGATACAATTCATACTAAAGGCTGTACTACTTGATCTTCTGTGGCAAGTGCTTCAAGTCCTCCTTCATTTCAGTAGGTATGCTGTCTTCATTAAGCATGCCTCCTCTGTATAACAGAGGTTGTTGATGAGTCTTCCTCCAATCTTGATGCTACAGTCTTCATAAGTCTAGCTTCTTAAATGATTTGTTTAGCACATAGACTGAAAAGGTATAGAGAAGGCTAAATCCATGATGTACTCCTTTTTTAATTTTGAACCATGGTATAATACCTTTTTCTATTTGGACAACAGCTTCTTGGTCTCAAATGTGCACAACCAAGTGTTCTCGGATTCCCATTCTTCTCTATATTAGCCGTAACTTGTTGCTATCCAAACAGTCAAATGCCTTTTGCATAGTCAGGGAGCTACATGGTAAAACCCCTAGGTTCCCATCCTAAGATTCTAACTCTTAGCAACCCTTAAATGACAGAGTAGAGCTCCTCTATAGAGTTGAAAGCCTTTAAGTCTTATGATTCCAGAATTAGTTAATATAGACTGGATCATATATTTCATTTTATGCATTTGAAAAAGTCTCTTATTTATTCTCTAGATGTTACTTTACAGTGCTTTTATCTAAAAACCTTCAACAGTCACATTTTAGTGTTACTTCTAATCCCAAAGTAATGTGATAGAACACCTTGCCCAAAGAAGAGGATTCCTTAAAGGTTTTATTGTGATTTAATTGAAAGTTTACAGAGCAAATTGTTTTTCCATTCAGTTATTCAAACATTGTGTTTTATGAGATAAATTATAATTACAACAGTGAACAGCACCCTTCCCATTTCTTGCCTGTGATCCCTATTTCTAGTCATCATTTCTTCCTTCTGAGCCTTATCCTATGGAAAAGGCTGCCTTTTTGGTCTTATATAGTTGATTTCTAAAAAATGAACACCTCTCTGTTGTTATTATTCACATTATAGCTCAAAAAACTCAAACTCATTGCCATTAAGTCAGAACTGACACATTATGACACTCCATTGGTTTTCCCAAGCTGTCAGTAACAAGGGAGAGATTGTACATCTTTTTTCCAGAGTAGTCATTCATGGGTTTGAACCAACAGAGAGGCACACCATTTGGTTAGCAACACATCCCCCTATGGATTAGACTGTCTGAATTCCTCCTACAGTCCTGTATTGTTCAGCTGGGAGTTGAGCTCCTGGAGTACATAAAGTTTCAAGCTCCAAGGGTGGCTTAGGGCCCTAGTCTCAAGGGTTCCAGAAGTTTCTCTCAGTTCAGTAAGCTCATCTATATTTATGATTTTTCATTTTCTTCTATGTTTTTCCTCCAGTCTTTCCAGGGTCCTATGTTGTGATTTTTTTTTTTTAGAGCAGTCAGTAGTGATTCACCAGGCACCGTGTAGTACTCCTGCTCTCTGAGTCATAGAGGTTGAGATTCATATGACCAATTAGTTTTGGTAGACTTACTGTTTGAATGCATTTTTTTATTTTCCTCACAAAAAGAAGAGGATTTCTTGTTTTATATACCTTTCTCAGAAGGTATAATAAAGATCAAATATATATATTTTCAGTCTTATTAAAAGATACATGCCCACTTGTCTAAAGAACTTTGTTTTATGTTTATTATTTGTAAGAGCATTCTTTAGAACTGAAAAGGAAGTTAGATGTGCATATGATTTTATCTGTATACAGATCTCAGAAAATAATAATCACTTTTCCTTAGGATCATTTACATCTAGTTTATATTAAAAATTTACTGAGTAACAGAGATGTAATAAATCTCTCTTTCTCTTTACCATCAAGTTGGAACCCACTCATAGCTGAGCTTCCAGCAAGTTTTTGGAGGCTTTAAACTCCCTTGGAGGAGATTGCCTGTCTTTCTGCCTTAGAACTGCTGGTGCATTCGAACTCCCAGAGAAGTGCTTCCTTTTGAATTAGTGCCCCTCTCTACAGACTGTCAGAGCGCTCTGTATTAGAAGTAGTTAAATAGAATTTGGAAATACTCAACAGAAAAATGAGTAGTTTGGTTAATTTCCCAATACATTATGCAAACTCATCTGAAGGGCCTTCTAATGAAAAAGCCAAAATTTAGTAAAGAAAATACACTCTTTGGCATCCTAAATGAGATGACATATTTAAAAATAAGTTCTTTGTTTTACTGTAAAACTAAGAAAATACTCCTGATTATAAAGCTGTACAGATCTTTTAAAACTTCTACATTTTACCTGGAAACAGAACCATATCCAGTGAGTATTTTAACACTCAAAACTTCTTAATCTCGAAATTTCAAGTATTTTGAATATGGAGTTTATCTAGGAGAATCTTGTATTGACTTTTACATGGGGAAGACATAAAATTGGGAGGGTTAAGAAATAGAAAAATAAGAGTATTTTAGGTCAAAAAGGCTATACACTTATTTAAACTGAAAAGAGCATCTAAGAACAGAGTGAGTAGGATCTTGGCACCTGGAGGAATTCTGTGATGACTTTCAAATGCCACCTCAGGAAGTCTGTGGTATTTAAAAGAGCAAGTTTTTGAAAAAAGATTCTCTGTGTTTAGGAAATTACTACAAAAATTGAGTTGATTTACAACTTATATTTTGATTCACCTTTCTGTTTTTTGGGTGAGAGAAACTGAAAAGTCATTCTGAAAAATGTTATTTGTTCTTGGTGGTATCCAGAATTCAAGAATACAATGCACTGGATCTCATTTGCAAGTCTCAAGTTCCTTCATCTGGCAGGCATCTGTTTGCATCATCTTGTCCTTCTTACTGTGTGTAATGTAGATATGTACATCTCAAGGAATCATCAACTATGCAGATGAGTGAATTTCTAAATTCTTATTGCATCCTTTTCCTACACCCCAAAAAAGGTAGAATCTATTCAAATTTATTGGTATTATACCTATTAATTTTCATTTACAGTAATAAGTTACTTTTTTAGTATCCATATTTCTGAATTATTACTTAAAGATTAATATTGGAGCAACAAGTATTTGTTCATTAGAGTCCTTTTTTTCCTTTAGTTTGAATTATTTGCCAGATGGTTTCTGCAATGCTAATTAAGATGCATGCTTTTAACTCATTCTGTACTTTGAAGATTTCTAGTTTTATAGCCTTTATTAACTGTCAGCTTTTCTTTACTCATTTTCCTTAAGTTTTCACTTCCCTTTCCTCTTCCTCTCCACCTTTATTGAATTTGTTTTTGTAATTACTGCAGTGGTGATGTGTAATGGTTTATAGACACATGGCCTGGGTGATTTTTCAGATTCACAAATGTTGCTAAACTGAAAAGAGAATTCCAGACACATTTGTAAGCCTGTCTCATCTAAGCTAATTTTAGAATGAGCATGTTGAATGAAATGTGCTTGAATTTGCTTATTAGTCATGGTGGTGGGGATCCTTTATGGCCTCTGTTAAAATGATTATTTCAAGCTATTAGCAAAAGTATCATTAGTGTGCTCAATTCAATAAATGTGCAGTTTGTTGTTGCATTTGTTGGAACTTTTTTATAATAAAATGAAGTCTGTAGTAAATTTGGTTTACAATTCTGTAAGAATTCTAAGACAGGCTAAAATAGAAATGAGTGATAATGCTTTGTGCTTTTTAGGGTAACTTTTTTTTTTTTAAATCACTGTACGTATTGACAACTAGCAACAACATCACCACCACATATTATTGCATTAAGCATTCTTATCCTATTGCCCTTTTAGTTTATGTGTAAAATAATAGAATTATGTATTAAGTTGTTAAATTATAACAGATCGAGCCTGTTCGTGAGACTATGAAACTGTAAAAATGAATCTTTTCTGCCAGTGCTGTCATGACTATTAGAGTGCAGACTCAGAATGTGTTAACAGTAGCTGAGAAATTACATAATACAGCTTTTCAAGTCAAAGGAATTCTAACCATTGTGTCAGCTGTTACTCATAGTACCTTAGTGTTTCCTTTTAGATATCTGATCTCTCATCTTAAAAAATACTATAGAAACAATTCTATGACCAAATAAAAGTGCTGAGTAAAGCTATTGTTTTGAGTACTTTCATTTACTGAAGACTTAGACTTGTAGAATTTTTTAATAAGCTGAATTTTTCTATTATTAGTAGTATAAAAGTTCCTGAAACAGGTGTCTAGCACATTCAACAAGTTGTATATTTGAGAAAGGAATGAGAGTTGTTCTTAATTTCCAGCAGGATATTTTCAATTATTCACAAATAATAAATTACTGGATTCTGACAAAAACTGATGGTATTGAGTTGTGACTGAGCATAAAAAATTTAAGCCTGAGTAGCTTTTTAGGCTCTGAAATGAACAAGATATTGCTTTTAAGCAAAATAATGCCTTTTAATCTGCCAGCTATCTTGCTCCAGAAATTATAAGGTAAGGCCCTGTGTCAGCTGTTACTCATACATAGTGTCTTGGTATTTCCTTTTAAATATCTGGTCTCGCATCTTATATAAACCTATATATCAACTATATAAGCAGTCTATTTCCTAATAAAAATGCTGAGTGAACATTTTGTTTTTGAGTACTTTGATTTCCTGAAGACTTAGACTTGTAGAATTTTTTCATAAACTGAATTTTTCAGTTATTCACAGTAATATGTTTAAGCCTGGGTAGCTTTTAGGCTCTGAAATGAACAAGGTACTACTTTTAATCTAATAATGCGTTAGAGCCTGATAGCTATCTTGCTGCAGATACTGTAACGTAAGGCCCTTGAAATAGATGCCGTCATCAGCCCCAGCTCCAAGGCATTCATCTATTTAAACACATGGCAGAAGATGGTGGAAGGGAGTTCAGCACCTATTCATGTAATAGGAGTGGTTATTGTATTAGGACATACTTGGTTGTAAGCCAGCAGCTTTTTTGTTAAAAAATGCAACTTTCTCCCTTTTTTCCTTACATCTTTCTCTTTCTGTTTCCACAAACTCAGTCTTTTTTCCTCAGATATTTTGTATAGGTCCAAGATGCAACAGATTTGAGCTCCCCAATGTACAGTTAAATTCTTATTATCTATCTGTAAAGGTTTCAGTATCTCACTCTTTTTTTTTTAAGGCAATGGACAGCCAAGACGTAGATCCATCCAAGACTTGACTGTTACTGGAACAGAACCTGGTCAGGTAAGGCTAAGCATTTAAATTCTTTACTGGAAAAATAGTAATAGGTAGAAATTTGATTGACTGTACTCTGCTTGACAGAATTAATACCATGAGTTGAAGTTTTTTTGCCTGAAATTTAGATGGAGACATACATTGGCACATGGAGACAAGTAGTTAAATACAAAGGGAACAAATTATAGCTACTATTATTAACTGGAAGAGTAATTTATGAAATTAGGCTGGTCAGACTTAATGGGAAAGTAAATTCTTCAACAGTGTTTTGTGTGTGCTGAATTTTTTTTTTTAATGTTTTAATAAGGAAGTTTACAGTTTTGTAGGTGACCACTTGGCTTTTATCACTGTCCTGGGGGAATAGTGCTATACCAATTAAAATCATTGCTGATTAGTACATAATTGAGTAGTTATAACCAACTAAGTATATAAATCTAGTTATTGCTTTTTCTCTTCTATTAAGATTAATATTATATGTTTGAATCATATTCTGTAAAATGAACAAGGGCTAATTATGAGGGTTATTTTTGTTGCTTTGTTTTCAATTGTGCTGAAATAAGTTCTGCAAGTGGTATATGCATTAATAGAAATACTACATTATGTTCCATATGAATATAAAATGTTAACATCATAGATTATAAACAGATTTGATCTGTGGTAATGTATATTAGTACTTTTCATCCTAAAAATATTTTTAAGTTGTTATTATTATTAGTTCATATTTATAACGTCTCTTACATTTTGAAATTTTTTTAATCATTGAGAAAAATTTGGGAGCCCTCTATAGTCATCAACTACTAAAAATGGCTTGAGATATTTATATGATAATTATCTTGATCAAGAATAAATATGTGTATCTTGATTTATGCCAAGAAATATTTTTATTTCACCACCCATTATCCCTATAGGACCTTATATACATTCATTTATTTGTTTTTATATTAGTGACTGTTAAATCTCAGTTTCACCTATTTAGCATTTGGGGGGGGGTGGTTGCTTAGTGAATATGGTATCAGGCACTCAGCTAATATGAGTGGTCAATACCAGAACTTTTGACTGAAGTTTTCTGTATTTCTTCCTTTCAGATACACCAAGATCTAACCTTCCCATTTAGTAACACATAATTTGACTGTGGCGTTTGCTTTGATGAGAGCTTAGCCTTTATACTCTGTTTAATATTGCTGTTGATAAACCAGTTATGAGAACAAGTGTTCTCCCTTTGAATGGGAATGAAATGCTTATCTTACTGAACTATCTTCTGGTATAAGAGATTTTCTCTGTAACCTTGAGTAACAGCAGTACTGTAATTCAGTGCTGATCACTTCACCTCCATATCCCCATATCACGCTTTAGCTTCTTTCCACAAAGTTCTCTTTTACTTAGCTTTATGATTGTTACCCTTTTTCATGCATATTACATTCTGGTAGGAAAACAGAGCAACTGATGCAAGGTATGAATTTTCATAAATTAGAGTGTATCATAATAGATAATTGACAGTAAGACCTTTTTAAAACAGATGATATATTGCCATTGTTTAGCTGCTTCTTAAATGAATTCTCAAAATTAGTTAAATATTTATAATAATAAGATGTATAGTATTCTCTTTGAGATAATTATGAAATTGAGTAATCTTAAAGAATGAAAACATTTTCCCGTGAAAAAAAGTTAATGATAAGTAATCATTAAATTTTTTTAATTATTCATGAGACTAACATTTACTGTTTGAAGAAGGTAAATTTTCACAAAGCTCATTTTTACAAATAGAAGATCCAGTTCTTTTTGAAGTATGCCTAACTAGTGATTGAATAAATATGTAATTCTTTTATGGCCGAAGAAATTGAAAAATAATATAAAGAAAAGAATTTTTTTTAAAAAAAAGAAAAGAATTTGACTCATCCAATACAATTATGAAAAGAAGATAAAATAATAAATATTAAAGTTTCCTGTCACATTTTGTAGAAGAAAATGAATTGACTCAAGTCTCCACTTGGCCTGTTGACTCAAGTTGTTATTGTAATAAAAATCACTTGGACTTTACATCCATTACTAATGAAAATTGGTTATTTCTGTACTGCCATTTCTATGGAGATGAACTTTGAACAAAGCAAAATTCTTAGCTCAGAGTCATAATGCCAGTACATATGTAAAAGATTGTATTCTTATAATTTATTGCTCACTTATATTACATTTTTTAACTTGGGCATTTTTTTTTAAGTTTGCATAAAAGGTTTCACCTTCTAGAGGCTTTGTAAAACTACTAATAAAAATTACTCTGGAGGAATTAGCATAGAAGGTAACATGTCACTCAGAGCTAGACTATGTTATTCTCCACTAAGACAGTCTCACAGATCACTAACATCTCACAAGTGTACACAGTGAGACCACAATAAAACAATACAGAATGAGATCACTTCATAATATCTAAGCACGCACACAAAAAAGTTCCACTACAAAATAGCATATAATGACCAGATACATGTGTCAACTACTATGAGTGGTTGAAGCTTCATTCTTCAATCATCTTCACCCTAATTTGTCCTCCTTACACAGTTGCTCCTGCTTTCTGGTAACAACCAAACTATCAGTCCTTTTCTTCCATGAACCTTCCCTCAGAATCAATCAGCTACTTCCCAAACCTTTTAATAGATCTTTCTGAATCTTCTTCTGAGACACACAATGCTTCCACTTGGTAATCATTTTACACTGTTAAAATGGATTCTAAACCAAACATCTGTCCTTACAGTATCCTCTAGTTTCCAGCTTATTTTCTTGGTAATTGTTAGCTGAGGGCATTGACAATATTGATAACTCCTAGGCCTCAAGGAGATTTTGTGTACAGGTGACCTTTATACCCTGATCAATGCAAAAACTTTAGTAACAACAGCTGCTTTACTATTTACTGTGTGCCGGTTGTGTACCAAGATAGCCCTTGGTAAACATTGCTTCAATCTTAAACTTTTAAAGTTAGTACTTTTTGTATTTTCCCCATTTTGTAAATAAGTAAACCAATCATTAGAGAAACATACCCAGGTTCTTACCATCTTTCTACTGCAATAATTATTATAATCAGATTTTTAATCTAATTCTCTCTCATTCCAAAGCATTCAAACATTGTTTTTAATTGCTGCCAAGCCTACCACAAGATCTCATAAAGTACAGACTAGAACTGCTCCATATGGTTTCACATCTATGACTTTCAGAAGCATATCACCAAGCCTGTCTTCCAAGACACATCTCATAGGTAGGGTTAAACTACCAATCTTTTTAATAGCAAAGTGCTTAAGTAGTTCCACTCCCAGGTACTTCATTCAAAATGCATTCTCATTCTTTCTTGTATATAAAACTGGAGAATATATACTGAGATAGTCCTCAAATAAGTGTTGATTGTATGATGAGTTAGGTGTTGAACTATTAACCAGAATTTCCATGATTCAAATCCTTCAGCTGCTGTGTGGGAAAAAGAGGAAGTAGTCTGTTCTCATAAATATATCTGCTCAGAAACCCCACTGGGCAGTTCTGGATCCTCTAGGGTCACTATGAATCAGAATTCATTAAATGGCAATAGATAATGATGATCTATATTTTATTAATTTTTTATTAGTTAAATGGCACGGATAATAACTTTTAGTTTTGTCATATCTTATTATTAATCCACCTTAATAACATACTTCCACAGATGATTGCTTTTAAAAAAAATCTGTGAGCCTTTCTGTATTTTTCTGAAGTTAGACATTCTCATGTATGTTTGACTAGTCCGTATGGCATCATATCCTGTATGTATTTATTTTAAAGATTTCTTCTGTCAGATGCTACAAACAATGAAAATCTAAGCTATAAGATGATCTAATTATGATTACTTAGATTATTTTATATGCTACATTTCTATATGACTTTTATAACCTACTTTTATTAGTTAAATGTATGCTTTGGACAAATTTCTTAATTCCCCTGAACATCAGAAATCATCTGGAGATAGAGACCATAACATGCACCCCTCAGGATTCTTTTAACAGACAGAAAAAGTGCCAGGCACAGAGTAAAGGCTTACTTCGTGCTGTGTGACAAAGTGTGCCTTCCGGGGCTCTTGTACCGGGTGCTGCCTCTCCCAGGAGTTGTTAGGTGCAGTTGGGTTGGTTCTAACCTAGCGTGCAACAGAACTAAAAGTTGCCACATCGTACGTGATTCTTACCATCATTGTTATGTTTGAGTAGTGATTTGTAATCACTTTCACTATCTCTTTTCTTTTTTTCCTATTTTTTTGCTGATCTTTTGTTTTACCAAGTTTCATGTTCTCAAGATTAGTCTCATGATTCTCATTTCAAAGGAGCATTCTGGCACTTCTTCCAAGTCTGAGTTCCAGAAATAAATTTACTTATCTATTTAATAAATAATCATTTTCTATTAGAAAGTTGTAAAACCATCTATTTATTCTGTATCGTAAGAAAACATCTGAGAAAATACTTGCTTAAGGCTTTTAATGACATTTTAAGAGCTGTATTATTATGTATAGTCATTGAACAGATGTAAGATACTATACTACATCTCTTTATTCATTCTGTCTTGCTCTCTTTTAGTGCAAAGTTCTGTTAAAGTGCCAGATCACAAGCTCAAGTAACCAGTTTGAATAATTACTGATTTATATACACCTGTTTTTTGTTGTTGTTAGATTCCATTCAGTCAAATACAACTCATAGTGTCCCTATGTACAGTGGATCTGAACTCTACCCTGTCCTGTGTCTCATCATCTTTAATATACTTGAGCTTATTGTTACAATCACTGTGTCAGTTCATCCTCTTGAGGGTCTTCCTTTCTTTCACTTATCCTCCACCCATCCAAGCATTATATCCTTTTGCAAGGTGGACCCTCCTAACAACATACTTGAGATGAAACTTCATCCTTGCCTCTAAGGACACATAGTCACACTTTCTCCAGTAACATGCTCACTTGTTCTTTTGATAGTCCATAAGATACTCTATCATCTTCATGTCCAACTTTCAGATGCATAGCA